TTTCCTATTGACGGGATTGATGATTTTACCCACATGTTTTGTCCGTCTCTGTGTTTTATATCTTCACATTTTTCATCAATATGAATCATATAAAAACTAGTGCTAATTGTAACGGGGACCGTTACAGATGTTCCCCAAACGCTCCCCAACTCCCTTTTGGTGCCATATTCCCTGTAAGATTCATTAAATGGGACAAAATCTATGCATTTGAGACTGTAACAAGTTCATTCAAATTCAAGCATTGCACGCGTGCGCATGTGAATGCATGTGTGTAATGACCATATCATCTTGTCTACACAATCTATATATTTTATATACTAAATATTAAAGTATTTAATCCAAAAGTATTAAAAAATACATTCATTCAAGTTTATTTTTGATTTAACTCATTTCACGTGCACGCAAGTGCATACATGAGCATGGTGACCATATCTTCTTGTAGAAGTCCATTACATCTATCTATGTTCTAAATCCCACCCCGTTTGGTTGAAAACCAAGGGAGTTATAGCTGTTTAAAGTTTCAGCCAATCAGATTGCAGCGCACGTACTTGCACGTGTATGCATGTGCAGGTTGACCAAACCTTCTTGTAGAAGTCCATTATATATATATCTATGTTCCAAATCCCAACATGTTTGGTTGAAAACCAAGGGAGTTATAGCTGTTTAAAGTTTCAGCCAATCAGATTGCAGCGCACGTACATGCATGTGCATGTTGACCATACCTTCTTGTAGAAGTCCATTATATATATATCTATGTTCCAAATCCCATCCTGTTTGGTTGAAAATCAAGGGAGTTACAGCTATTTAAAGTTTCAGCCAATCAGATTGCAGCACACGTGCATGCACGTGTTTTTATGATAATTGCTATACATCTTATTGTAGGATATCTTAATGCATGGCTATGTTCAAAATTTCAAAGGATTTCCTCAAAAAGCAAGAAAGATATTGAGATTTAAGTTTCAGCCAATCAGAGCAAAGCGCACGTGCATGCGCGTGAGATCTTGCTATTTTGACCATGTCATCCTGTCTATACTACTAATATATCCTTATATTATGAGTTTCAAAGCATTTCATCAAAAAATTGAAAAGTTAAGGCAATATAGATTATATTGGCCATTTAACGTGTTGCACGTGCACGCTCATGCAAGCACGTGCGCGCAAAATGACCTTTGTTTGGCAAATCTACATAACATGCCTACTGACCTTAAAAACATTTTACCTAAGTCAGATGTGTAGTTTAGAAGATCACTCGTGGACAAAATTTTCCCAGGAAGAAGAAAAAAAATAATAATAATAACTAGTGCTAATTGTAACGGGAACCGTTACAGATGTTCCCCAAACGCTCCCCAAATCCCTTTTCGTGCCATATTCCCTGTAAGCTTTATTAAAAAAGGCAAACTCTATGCATTTAAGACTTTATCAACGTTTTCCCAGAAGTATACCAAGTATATTCAAATTTTAGCATAGCACGCGTGCGCATGTGAATGCATATGCATAATGACGATAACATCTTGTCTCCACTATTTAGAAATCTTGATATACTAAATATTGAAGCGTTTAATCCCTTTAAATCCCATTAAAAATACGATCATTCAGGTGTATTCTTAATTTTACCAATTTCACGTGCACGCACGTGCATGCATGTGCATGATGACCATACCCTCTTGTAGGAGTCTATTATGTCTGTGTAAGGTCCAAATCCCATCCTGTTTGGTTGAAAAACAAGGGAGTTATAGCCATTTACAGTTTAAACCAATCAGATTGCAGCGCACGTGCATGTGCATGCATTTATGAAAATTGTTACATATCATATTGTAGGATATCTTAATGCATGCCTATGTCCAAGATTTCATAGCATTTCGTCAAAAAACGAAAAAGATTTTGATAATTTTGTTTCAGCCAATCAGATCAAAGCGAACGTGCACGCACGTGCATGCATGTGCATGACGACCATATCTTCTTGTAGCAGTCCATTATGTCTGTCTAAGTTCTAAACCTCATCTTGTTTGGTTGAAAAACAAGGGAGTTATAGCCATTTAAAGTTTCGGCAAATCAGATTGCACCGCACGCGCATGCGCATGTTTTCATGACAATTGTTATATATCATTTTGTAGGACATGCTAAAGTATGCCTATGTTTTAAATTTCATAGCATTTTGTCAAAAAACAGAAAAGATATTGAGGTTTTTGTTTCAGCCAATCAGAGCAAAGCGCACGTGCATGCGCGTGAGTTCGTGCTAATTTGACAGTGTCATATTATTAACACTATTAATATATCCTTATATGATGAGTTTCAAAGCATTTCATCAAAAAATGTAAAAGTTATGACTATATTAAATATATCAGTCATTTCACTCATTTCACGCGCCCGCACGTGCAGGCGTATGCGCGCAAAATGACCTTCGTTCCGCACACCTACACTACACACCCATTAACCCTAGAAAGGTTTTAACTTAGTTTGGTGAACAGTTTCTGAGAACACTCGCGGACAAAAAAGTACCGGAGAACAAATAAGAAAAAAAATAATAATAATAATAATAAGAAACCGAGTAAAAACAATATGTTCCCAAACTCCGTTTGGGGAACATAACTAGTGCTTATTGTAACGGGAACCGTTACAGATGTTCCCCAAACGCTCCCCAACTCCCTTTCGGTGCCATATTTCCTGTAAGCTTCATTAAATAAGACAAACTCTGTGCATTTTTGACTTTAACAACGTTTTCCCAGAAGGATACCAATTATATTCAATTTTTAGCATTGCACCCAAGCACATGTGAATGCATGTGCGTTATGACCATATCATCTTGTCTACACTATTTATATATTTTAATATACTATATATTAAAGCATTCAGTCCAAAAGTAATAAAAATCACTCACTCAAGAGTATTTTTAAATATACTCGTTTCAAATACACGCACGTGCGTGCACGTGCATGTTGACCATACCTTCTTGTAGGAGTCCCTTACATCTATCTATATTCTAAGTCCCATCCTGTTTGGTTGAAAAACAACGGAGTTATAGCCATTTAAAGTTTCAGCCAATCAGATTGCAGCACACGTGCATGCGCGTGATTTCATGATTTTTTTATATCATTTTGTAGGATATTCTTATGCATGACTATATTTTAAATTTCAAAGAATTTCGTCAAAAAACAAAGGAGATATTGCCATTTAAAGTTTCAGCCAATCAGCTTGCAGCACGTGCACATGCGCATGCTTTCATGATTTTTTTCTATATCATTTTGTAGGATATCCTAATGCATGACTATATTTTAAATTTCAAAGAATTTCGTCAAAAAAACAAAGGAGAAATAGCCATTTAAAGTTTCAGCCAATCAGATTGCAGCACACGCGCATGCGCGTGATTTCATGATTTTTTTCTATTTCATGTTGTAGGATATCCTAATGCATGAATATATTTTAAATTTCAAAGAATTTCGTCAAAAATCAAAGGAGATATTGCCATTTAAAGTTTCAGCCAATCAGCTTGCAGCACGCACACATGCGCATGCTTTCATGAAAATTTTTATTTATCGTGCGGTAGATCTTCATAATGTAGGACTATGTTCAAAATTTCAAAGGATTATGACAAGAAACAAGAAAGTTATTGAGACTTTAGTTTCAGCCAATCAGAGCGAAGCGCACGTGCATGCGCGTGAGATCTTGCTATTTTGACCATGCTATCTTGTCTATACTCCTAATGTATCCTTACATTATGAGTTTCAAAAAATTTCATCAAAAAATAGAAAAGTTACGGCAATATCCATTATATTGGTAATTTCACCTGTTGCACGTGCGCGCTCTTGCAAGCACGTGCGCGCAAAATGACCTTTGTTTGGCAACTCTACATAACATGCCTACTTACCCTAAAAAGGTTTCACCTAAGTCGGATGTGTAGTTTACAAGATCACTCGTGGACAAAATTTTCCCAGGAAGAAGAAAAATAATAAGAATAATAATAATAAGAAACAGAGTAAAAACAATATGTTCCCCAACTTCGTTTGGGGAACATAATAACGAATAGTATACAAGAAAAAGGTCCATGTACAATATGGAGATATCGAACAGTATTCAAACTTAAAACGTCCCTGAAACAATACGAAATAGGTGCAGAGGAAACAAAACATCAGAGGTGGGATCAGGTGCCGTGGAGGAGTGAGCATCCCCTGCCGACCGGTCACACCCGCCGTGTGCTCTTTGTCATGACCTGGAAATAACGGAAAAGTCCGTCGTCAATTCAGTGTATAAATAATTGACTAACTAAGTGTTCACTAATCATTATTTCTTACCTCTAACAATGATTTGAGCGATGTTGTTTAACTGAGAGGACTAGGCAAAGCAGGTGGATCATATTAAGTCTTTTGTCAAATTCAAATCATTAATAACAAAGGTTTTCACAGCAGGAAGAATACCAATAAATTCGGATATATTTTGTTTCCTCACTTCAAATATCCAATGTCTAAAATCATAATCACAATGCAACAAAATCGATTTCATTTAAAAGAAAATAAAACCAAATATCACCGAGATATATACCTTTTGAATCCCAGGGGAGAAATATGTTTATTGACTATTCAGGGGAAATTAAGTCGTTGAAAAATAGCAATAATAAATAATGTTTATTTATAAAAAAAAAAATGATGTATGAAGTAATACTTATTTTCATATTGAATTTTATTGTACGGTTGCCTCGTCATAATTATAAAAAATAAAATAAGCTTACATAAAACGAAGTATGGGTTTGATTGACATGGAAATGTATTTAACAAAAAAGAAAAGAGACTTTTACTATTTTTTCTAAATTGGGAGGGGATCCACCTTTCATGTGAAAGAGGTTACAGAAGGTGCTGACGCATGAAGATGATTCATTACCCAAAGTCCGTTCGCATCGAATGAATTTCGAATAAATTTGTAAAGTCTCTTTATGAGTAGGCAGTAAGCAATTCTCAAGTGGACGTTTAGCAGGCAAACTTAACTCCCTTTACCCCGATTTTTTCTAGCTCAGTAGAAGTACGTTTTCGTTGCGGGACCGGGACTGCAGTAGCGAGGGGACGGGCGTACTGAACTACACACAGACAGCGGAGTACAACGGTCAGACAGTGGCCCTCAAATCCAGTCAGCTGTCCGGTGTTCAGCTGAACATGACTGATCTCGTGGAACTTAAGGCTGTATGTCCTTGTTCTGAATGTGGAATTTCCTGAATTCAACTCCTCAAAAAAGCATGTATACAATTAAAACAAAATTATATGAAATAATTTTTATACGCCTTTAGATGCGGGAATTTTTACATGCCAACGTGAATCCCTTTATCGGAGCTTGCATCGATCCTCCAAATATTTGCTGTCTCTTTCAGTATGGTACCAAGGGAAGCCTTCAGGTATAACCAGAAAAAATCCTCAACAGCAGTTACATATCATCAAAGTCAGATCAATTTACCCATAAATTTTTAAAATGGATAAATTTATTTGTTTTTAAACCTTGACAAGTAAATTTGTTCTTTTTTGAATTCAGTATTTAAAAAAAAATCAGTAGGAAGCAAGAATGAGAAAGGTCTGGCAATACATGCATTTTTTGCAATTGATTTCAGTAAATATTTTTCTCTCTCTTTTATAAGGATGTTTTGGAAAATGATGATATCAAGTTGGAATGGACTTTCAAAGTGACAATTCTTAAAGACATAGCTTTGGTAAGTTTGAAATGTTTTCAGATAACATTTTTTTCTTAAAATCAATATAAACTCTCACAATCTTTTTTATTTCAGGAAACAGACTAGAAATATTTTTATATGAATTGATCTTTTCAAGTGATAGAAAATGAAAGAGATAAATATTATCAAAGTAATCTGCAAATGTTTGATTTTTTATATTATGATTTTCAAAAGCGAATAAAGTAAGGCTAAACTCACTTTTCAGAACATAGGAGATTTGATAAAAATGTTAAATGGTTATCTGTTCACTTTACTAAGTAAAATATGACTGTTAAAGCTTTCAAGTAAAACGTGCAAGACTTTAAACAACAATTGTTTCGATACAATAGGTTCATTAATAACGAAAGAATTTTTTGGCTTTTCAAATGCCCGTTTTTCAGATGATGAATTTTCTCTAACATTCTTTTTATTTAATGCATATAATACGAAACCCTTTTCAGGAAGCCTTAGCATCGTTACGGGAAACGGAAGGAGAATTTATTTTTTGAAATATTGCTGCATTACTTAAAATGAACAGTCATAAAATCTTTTCCAAATGTGTTAGCAATATTTGATTTTTTTACTGAAAGAGATTAATAAAATTAGATATTTACCAAATTGAAGATAGATTTTTTAAAAGATACAAAATTCTTTACTTTACATCTATTTTTAAAGCGTTTCTTTTGCAATTGAATAAAATTAGATTCGATTCGAAAGATTTATTGGTAATTGAATAAGTTGACATTTTTCTAAATTTGATTGCAGGGAATGAAGTACCTCCACTCATCGGTCCTGAAATCCCACGGTCGACTGAAAAGTTCTAACTGTATCATCGACAACAGATGGACCGTGAAGGTCACGGACTACGGGGTGTCTGCCTTCTTCAGGCAAGAGGGGGTCACAAACATCAAAACGATGGAAGATTTCAAAGGTATGTGAAGAACTCAAAATTATAATTAAGTTATTCCATCAGTAGAAAAGGGTATATTAAATTATGAACACACAGCCTTTTTGATTAGTGCAAGTGATTCAGTATTTACATAATTGTCATTTCAGTGCAATATTGCTTTCTGCAAATCTGCAATTCGACCCTTTGGTATTTACCTTACCTTTAATTACACTTTGTCTTGTGTAATTTGAATGGTCATTAAAGTCTTTTATGTCATTTCACGAAAATCAATATCTTCAGTATCGTGTTTTTAATTTATATCAGACGTCATATTTATACGATTTTACTTATTGATAGATTGAGGAAAGTAGAGTATAAAAACTTAATTATATAAACTTCGACATTTGATTGAAAAAAAAGAGAAAATTATATATGTACCTTAGGTTCCAGTAAATAATATCCAAATTCTAAATAAAAACAAGTGTCAAAATGAGAATCCCTGCATGAAAAAGCAAAGGTTTAATCGAAGGTCTTGCCTCAACATTTGAACCCATTGCTACAGGCCTATTGGTTGATATATCAGTGTCCTCTTTCTTATTTAAATGGAATATCATTTTTACATTCTCATTTTACTAACAAGATGTAATATTTTTTTAAATTATGTCTTATTTTTGGATTTCGTATATGATTATATTAATATTTATCCAGATTTGTTATGGACTTCTCCTGAAATATTGAGGTCTGATAACAATTTTCCCAGGAATGGAACAAGCGCCAGCGATGTATATAGCTATGGTATCATCATGCATGAAACTTTCTACCGAAACGGACCGTTTCCTGTAGCAGGAAAGACACCGAGGGGTACTGTGTTTGTTGTTGTTGTTGTTTTGTTTGTGTGTTTTGTTTTTTTAACTCTGAAAATCATAGCTTAAACAAAAATATAGCATTTTATCTCATACATGTTGGAGATACAGTCCGTTAGATAAACTTATGCTTTATTCACGGGTAGATGCTTTATCAATAGCACTTCCAGTTTTGACACCATCCCTCGCTTCAAGATTTTACTTTATTGAAACTTATTTATGAAAATTCTTGCCCGAATAAAATGAATGATAAAGAGCGATAATATCGTTAAAAGCAAGAAAAAGACTCGTATATGTCAAAGAAGTGTCTTATTTGATCAAGGAACCTATATTGGCTACTTGAAGATAGATGTTTACCCCCTTCTTTAAATCGTTTTCGGAGAAAGTAAAGCCTAGCAGTTAAGTTGTTGTTATAATATTCCTTTAAAATCTGAAATAATGCTTTCTTATATTAAACTACGCATGTCTATCTAGTAATGTAGGTGTAACTTACCATGGATCGATGAAACAATGCCTAAATATAACAGATAATTCTCACGATCCCATGCTCCTTACAACTTTCGGCCAGAAGCTCGTTGAAATGGTGCATATTCGCTCGGCAAGCCTCGCGAATATATACACCATTTCAAATTGTTGGATAAAGCCAATATCAAATGACATAATTATAGATGTTCTATTTATCTCATACGACTTTCGTTTTAACAAAACTTTGAGACTTCCCCTGCAAAACTACATAAATGATTGCTTATTCAAATTGATGACGTATAACTTGATTACGTAGCACCGTTGATGTTGACATGCCTCGAAAGAAAGTAGATCGTGTTCAAAATTTAGAATTTTTGCTATCTGCGTCTTTGAAAACATTATGTGACAATTGCTGGAGCTTTACATCAAACGAATTCTGACTGAAAGTTGTAAGGACAATGGGATAGTGAAAATGAACTCTTTGGACGATGGCAGTACAAGATGTGTTAGGCAAGGCTGGGGGCCTTCTTGTAGATTCATTGATGATCCATGGTAAATTATACCTACATTACTAGGTAGGCATACGTAGTATAATATGAAAGCCATTTTCAATTCAAAATAGTGTTTGCCAATACAGATAAGATGATTTATGTACATGATATACGAGTCTTTTTCTTGCTTTTAACGATATTAAATAGAGCCAAGAATCCACAAATAAAAGTTTCAATAAACAAAGCAAAAGGAGTGCTATTGACAAAAAATTCTGACCATTTTCAATTCAAAATTGTGTTTGAGTGATCAAACAGAGTCATAATAAATGAGAGCAAAGGGATTTGACAAAAAATTGTCTTTCGTAACAGATATAATAAAAGCAATACACGGTGGAAATTCGTGTAAACCAGAAACTTACCAATCAGAAGTCATCAAACCAGAAATGTTGGATTTAATGGAGCTATGCTGGGCCGATGATTGGCGAAAGAGACCAGACTTTGCTGGCATAATTAAACTCATCAAGGAAAATAACGCCGAGGCGTAAGTTATCTGCATAGAAAAATATACAGGTGATAATTAATCCTGTTATGTGCTTAATTAATCTGAAATATATAAACAAGAATATGATTACTAGTAATCTCGTTTAAAGTCATCATTTCGTAAGTTCTATGGCCGATAAAATGACCTTGTCATCTAAAATAATCAATCATTAAGTCAAATACTGACTGACGTTATTCAAACCACTTGTAAGGCAATATTTACACACTTAATTGGGCGTCCACGTGACACAGTGGTTTTAGCGTCTGCTCTAAAGTCGGAAGTAAAGAGTTGATCCTTCGGCGCGGATTCGAATCCCACTTTGGGATATAGAGACTGGTACTTCGGATGAGATCTGTATAAAGCTAGGTCCCGTGTTGCAGTAGGTACTGGCATAAAGAAGATCACTCACTGCTTAATGGCTGTAAATGTCGAGTACAAGACACAATTTACAGCTCTACACCGGCAATTGATGGCATCTCCATGTGAATGGAGGGATGTTAAACAACATACAAATTAACACACTGAATTGTCAACAATTTTTATTGTTATTTCACGCTCATTACAAGAAGCACATGGCGGATGTAACCGGTCGGCAGTATATGCCCCTTCCTTCATTGCACCTGATTCCACCTCTGATGTTTTGGAGGTCCATGTTTGCTTTGCTCCAATTTTATATTGTTTAATGGACTTCTGAGCTTGAAAAGGGTTCTGAATGTCCATATATTTTATATTAAACATTTACAACTTGAGATGTCTGTTGCAAGTTGAACTCTATTTAGAAAATACCTGAAATCATGTCATCACTGATGACATCATCAGTGACATCATGTGTATGATATTTTTTTTCAAATATTTACAATACCATAATTTCAGATTAATTTTCTTGTCTATGGTATCTCTGTAATTTTGTTCTGGTACCATGATTGATATTTAGATTATACCCATTAAGATGTGTGACAGAAATTATGAAATACTTGTACATGTTTCTGTTCGATATGAAATATAGAAGATTCTGTAATATCCATTGAATATAAATTCATGGCTCACGAAGTAACTATAAACTGCATGTTCTAGTTATATGTTTCTTTTTTTTATTCCAAAGGTGTCTGCTACATGTATTTTGAAATTGAAGACATATTTTTAAAAGTTCTGCTATAAATGTAAGCTAGATAGAAAAATCTCAGACAATACTTTCACGATTTTTTCGGTACATCTTGTGTGAAATGTATGTATAGTAGATGTTTGATACTGCAATGGGGGATAAACACCACTTATATCTCTGAACACCATGCTGTTTTTAACATGTAGAAGAAAGATCGGTTTAAGCTTTATTTGAAGTGCTTAGGTCATAAAGTCCGGTAATGAAATGCCTCTCATATTTCCGATTCCAATCAACATTGTTTATGTAAACTTCGATTGCCAGGTGGATCAAAGGACCAAACAGTTGTTATTAACTACATCTAATAGATAAACAACGGACTGCAAATTTAATTGTCATTATTCTTGGTATGGATAATAGCTTCATGTAGAGGAAATGGGCAAAGCTCAAATGTTTCCTGCTCCGTCAGAAGGTCTAGAAAATAAAATACGATTAATGAACTTAGGTCAAGATGGTTCCCATACCGCTAAGCTGTTGACTGTAGTGGGTATTTCAATTACAAGTAAATTATTAAAGTCCATGTAGCAATAGATTTCACACAAGATGTACTGACACAATCCTTAAAGTAATATGTGGGATTATTTTATTTATTCTTATTTCGGAAATTTTAAATTTACAATCACTTTTCCAGAAAATTGAATGGGTAACATAAAAAAGAAAGATAATGAACAGTGATCATTCTTAAAGTCAAAAATAATCATTAATATATGCGCAAAGCAAACATAGACCTCTGAAAATAAAATGAAAACTGCATACATGTAAAGCAAAGCACTATTGCTTTTAATTTCGACAATTGTATGGGTGGTAAGACATTATGAATAAATCTCTGAATGAGACTTCTAATTTCACTGCGTAATTGATTTTACAGTCTTCAGTTAAGCTTTATACAAACGAAAGTTTTGCTTTTCCTCGAACTCTGTGTCGTTGAATATGTCTAATCTGTTATAGCAATACAAAAAGAGGAGATAGCAAAGATTGGTCGATCTATAAAAATCTACAAACCATACAAATCTATGAACAGAGCAAAAACACGATCCCGCAGAAATTTCAAAGATTGGATCAGAAAGAGTAAGCATCCCTCTGTGCATGAACACCGCCCAGAGCCCTAAGTATTGAGTTGGTAAGCGAATTGAAACATATGGAGATAACGAACAGTATTCAAGATCAAAAGTCCACAAAACAATAAAAACATGAGGCAGAGCAAAAACAGACCTCCAAAACATCAAAGGTGGGATCAGGTGCCATGGAGAAGTGAGAATCCACTGCCGACCGGTCACACCCGCCGTGTGTTTCTTGTCATGATCGGGAAATAACGGAAAAATCAGTAGTCATTTCAGTGTATAAATAATGGATTAACAATTAGTATGAAAAACGTCAGTCAGCATTTGACTTAATGATAAATTGTATTTGTTTCATCAACCTGTTTGTCAATAGTTTACCTCGTTTAGAAATTGTTCATGCGTAGAGCATGTTCTTGCCTATCGAATCAACTCAGTTATATAAACTCCGTTTGCAGATGATAAAGATATAATGCTACATAAGTAAGGGAAGTTGACGATACAAAAGTTAAAGTCATCACGTTTATCATAGCGCTTAGTTGTTAAATTACCATTAACGTCTTTTTCAAGTAACTATAATATCCAAATATGAAACAGAAGTGTCAGACTCTGTAGTACCTTTTATCTCAAGCTCACCAGAACATATCGTATCGACATAAAAATGGAGATAACCATTGAAATATATCGCTGAAAAATTTAATACATGAAGAAAAAACTTACTATTGGTTAGAAAAACGTCAGGTAAATGCAGCATTTGGAGAAATTATATTTGATTTTATGCCTAACAATTTCACTATAACCACCGTAGACTTTACGTAATGCTGACTTTAAGCAAGGTTGTTAAAATCCCTGAAACATAAACTTATCTGTCAGTAGCCTTCCTTAAGTTAATTGCAGTAAGAGAAGATTCACGATAATCGAAAAAAATTGGAGACCTTATAAAACCATGCGCAGTTGAAAGCGAAACATTTCTACATTTAATATTATCTACTGAATATTTTTAAATTAGGTACACTACAAATTATAAAAAAAAAATGTAATTTTATTGCAAGGCCTTCTTTTGGAGAAGGGATGCTATTGTCAAAAGTGCCATTCGAGGCTTCAAAAAATCGCTGATTCTAACCTTTTCTTTATACATGCTAAATTAGGATTTTCAACTGCATTTATTAGACAGAGTATTAATAATATACAGCAACTGAGCATGAAATGAAAATAATGAAATTTATTTTGTAAAAAAGATAATAACCCAGACATGCAAGGTTTTTTGAGACAAAAAATTACTAGTATTAGTTTCAAAGACATTATTGCCTTTTTTGATGTTTAGCGTCCTTATACAGTGACAATATTCAGAAACGTTTCATGAAAAATCTTTACTTCGTTCTCAAATCTCTCATGATCAAAAACCGTGTTTATTGTTATAACAGAGGTATCTATTTTAGAGCGATCGTTCACAGGTTAGAGAAAAGTTTAATGTCGAGATTATAAGATTACAATTAGTAATACAATGGAACAAATTGGCGTTTTTGCAAGAAATGAGATTGTCGACTTTCTGTATAAGCCTTATTACAATAGTGACAACAACTTGGACGATTTCAAACATAGACAGATGAATGACCAGTAGTGATATCATTCGATGGTCTTTGATCTTTGTTCAGAGTGTTGCTTTAGGATTGATAATGATCTTGTAACTACTCAATTCCAAAGAAAAAGTCTTTGATTTGATTTGAATGACTCTGATTGCCAGGAGCGTTAGTATAATAGACTCCATGATAAACATGCTGGAGACCTATGCCAACAACCTAGAAGACTTAGTGGAAGAGAGGACAGTCTCACTGAACGAAGAGAAAGAGAAGACAGACCGCCTGCTGTACCGCATGTTACCGAAGTGAGTGTCGTTAGGGCAAATCAACAAAAGTAAAAAGGGAGGATATGGAGATAACAACAATATTCAATATCAAAATCCATAAAATATCACTGCTCTGGAGGTTTATAAGAGTTCATTTATATTACGTTTTGAAAAAAGAAATATAAAACCAAATAACATTTGTACTGTTATTTGAGATGAACATTATTTATAAAAGTTGGTAGAGGGAAGAAATGATTCTCAACTTTATTTTTACTGTTATCCTTTTCTTAAATGGTTCAGTCAAAAGGGAATTTCTGACAAATGTGGTTCTGCAGATAAGCAATTTTTTTTTCATTGCAAAATTTTTAGCTCACCTGAGCCGAAGGCTCAAGTGAGCTTTTCTGATCACATTTTGTCCGTTGTCCGTCTGTCTGTCTGTCTGTCCGTCTGTCCGTCTGTAAACTTTTCACATTTTCGACTTCTTCTCAAGAACCACTGGGCCAATTTTGACCAAACTTGGTACAAAGCATCCTTGGGTGAAGGGGAATTTAAATTGTCAAAATGAAGGGACATATCCCCTCGCAAGGGGAGATAATCAAGAAAAGACAAAAATAGGGTTGGGTCATTAAAAAATCTTCTTCTCAAGAACCACTGGGCCAGAAAAGCTGAAACTTATGTGGAAGCATCCTGGTATAATGTAGATTCTAAATTGTTCAAATAATGACCCCTGGGGGAAGGGCGGGGCCACAATGGGGAATCAAAGTTTTATATAGAAATATATAGGAAAAATCTTTGAAAATCTTCTTCTCAAGAACCACTGGGCCAGAAAAGCTGAAACTTATGTGGAAGCATCCTGGTATAGTGTAGATTCTAAATTGTTCAAATCATGACCCCCGGGGGAAGGGCGGGGCCACAATGGGGTATCAAAGTTTTACATAGAAATATATAGGAAAAATCTTTGAAAATCTTCTTCTCAAGAACCACTGGGCCAGAAAAGCTAAAACTTATGTGGAAGCATCCTGATATAATGTAGATTCTAAATTGTTCAAATAATGACCCCCGGGGGAAGGGCGGGGCCACAATGGGGAATCAAAGTTTTATATAGAAATATATAGGAAAAATCTTTGAAAATCTTCTTCTCAAGAACCACTGGGCCAGAAAATGTGAAGCTTATGTGGAAGCATTCTGGGGTAGTGTAAATTCTAAATTGTAGGAATCGTGACCCCAGGGGGAAGGGCGGGGCCATTATAAGGAATCAAAGTTTTACATAGAAATATATAGGAAAAATCTTTAAAAATCTTCTTCTCAGGAACCACTGGGCCAAAAAAGCTGAAACATATGTGCCCATGGAAGGATCATGGGGTAGTGTAGATTTCAAAATGTCTAAATTATGATCAGTGGGGTAGGGTGGGGATGCATTATGTATAACAAGGGGGAAATCTGGTAAAGAACAGAACGGTCAAAGCTTCTCAGGTGAGCGATGTGGCCCATGGGCCTCTTGTTATATTATTAACACCAAAAGTTCATATCAGATTAATATGTGGATATTTTTTCCAAACATTTACGACCATCAGCTATTTATGTAAAAAAAAGACAATATGTTGATGCTTCGTTGATAGGAATATTGTTTGTGAGCTTCTTTATAACTTAATTATTTTTCTCAATTTAATAATTAGAAAAATTAAGTATTTTTTAGGTAAGATAAAAAGTAGAAATTGTTATCATGATTATTTACTGTATCCATCAATGTTTTTCTGCATAGGTCTGTGGCAGATAGACTGAAAAGAGGAGAATTCGTTGTCCCTGAAGCCTACGAAGCAGTCACTGTTTTCTTTTCCGACATCGTAGGGTTTACCACCATTGCAGCTCAGATCACGCCGCTAGATGTTGTTGATTTCCTCAACGAGATCTATACGTTATTCGATGACATAATTTCAAAATATGATGTGTATAAGGTACAATTTATGTCATATCCCTGTAAAAATCGGTTATATTTATAGACCGTTCTACCATTGTCAATATAAGAATAATATAATAACTTTTTAAAAATCCAATCTTCATGCAATATATACTGTATGTTGATATATTAACTCCTGTCTCTAAACAAATCAGTAACAATACTGTTGCGCGATCAAGAAGCGAGTGACATTGGTCAACAGAGGATGCTTACTCCTTCGTGGCACCTGAGGCTTCTTTAATGTATTCGGAGGCTTTTGTTTGCTCTGCTGCCTTTTTGTTCTGCTTCAATGGACTTCTGTGCTTGATTTCTGTTTATAATTTCCATAATTCCTTTTAAACTATAGTACTAGTATGATCTTCCAGATGCTTTTCAATTTAGGTGAAATGAAAGATCAGAATGCGCAATAGTTTTACAAAAAGAGTTTTAAAGTTGTCTGTTTTATTTGTTTTAAAGGAAACTTCACATAATTTATTTGTTCAGGTTGAAACAATTGGTGATTCTTATATGGTGGTCAGTGGCCTACCGGAGCGGAATGGAAATGCTCATAGTGGCGAGATAGCTAACATGTCTTTAGCCATATTGGGACAACTCAAGCAGTTCAAGTTAAAGGCTATTCCAGAACAGAAAGTAATGGTTAGGATAGGTCTGCACACTGGACCGGTCTGCGCAGGTGGATTATATAATTATATCAATCTCCTAAGTAACTTGTATACGGAAAAATCAACATACCTGTTGTAATGAAACGCGTCTTGTAAAGTTAAACTTTCTGTTAAAGATGATTTTGTTTAACATATTTTTTACCGTTCGTTACTGTTAGAAGTGCTTGTGTTGTTATATGGTTTAACCTGTTTCACTCACTGCCAGGAGTGGTGGGGTTGATCATGCCGAGGTACTGTTTGTTTGGTGACACAGTGAACACGGCCTCCAGAATGGAATCTAATGGAGAAGGTCAGAAAAAATCCAAATTTTCTGTTTGGTTTTATTAAACGATATTCTTTTTATCATCCTACTTGCTTAATTTGTCATTGAATGCAATTACTTTATAGGTGGCAAAATTCACATCACAGCTATGACAAGAAATGCATTACTTAATCTGGGAGGACATGAGATCACAGATAGAGGGAATGTCTTTATAAAGGTAGACCAGAAAAAATATTTACACTTGGCTAAACGTAATTTTAATTTGACCATTTTTAATTGCTATTTGCTTTTCTGCTTGGTATCTTAGTTACAGGAGAAGCTTCTGCATACTACATGTAATACTTGAAGTTTGATAATTGATAGGCCAAAAACATCCATAAGGTTTTATCGTTTACTTGATCATGCCAATGTGCACATTACCGGTGTGACCGTCCAACAGGGGATGTTTAGTCCTCCACGACACCTGATCAAACCCTTTATGTTTTAGAGGTCCTTGTTTACCTTGCCCACGATCTGTATTTTGGCAATCGAGTTATGATTTTGATTTTTCTTCAAATTTCATTACATGTACAACAATACCAACAGTTTGAGATTCAGGAGTAAGGAATTTTAAGATGATTATAGTGGTTCTAGGAAGCAGAAATCATACAAAATGTTCCATATGATTTTCCCTCCTCCAATTCATGCAAAGTTCCAAGATTACTTAAAATTTGTCGAGCGGTTTCAGAAGAATCTGAATTTTTTTAAAAAGTATCGTATGACAATGACGATAAATGAAAACAGATGACAGTAGGTCTTTACTGTGACTTAAAGAACTTTGTACATGTAATGTATTAAAAATGAAATATTTAATTATTTATCTATTTAATTAAATATTTGATACATATGTAAATTTGATATATCACTTCCATTTCCAGGGTAAAGGACATATGGACACTTACTGGTTGGTTAACAAAACAGAAACTAGCTTACAGTCCTTACAATCGGAAACAAAAGTGTGACAATTGTTATTTTGTAGACTGGACACTATGGATTGGCTAGAGAATAAGTCTAAATACCGAGTAAAAAGATGTCTGTAAAACTGTTTCTTAAGCCTTACTAAGGAATAACGGCTGCAAAGTTTCTAAAAATGTTTGTTTGTAAAAGTTTTTTCTCTTGTGTCATAACTTTTTTACATAACGTCATTTCCTATCAAAACTAGTAGCAATATTTCAACAATAAATCCAAATAAAATGTATTTACAAATTTCAAATTTCATGATTTCTTACTTATTCAAAGTTTTAAATGACAACAATTGGATTGTGGAGCATGTAAGAATTTCTTTATCCAAAATTGATACACTGAATAATGTTTATAGCTATTTACTCTGTAAATTTGGGCAATTACCGAAAAAAATCTAGACATCCATATTTAGAATTTTTACAGTTTCATATTCTAAGTTCTGACTTAATATTAAGTTTCCTTGAAAAGAAATGTATTTCAGGAGTTAATTATAAGAAGTACTAATTGAAACGTGCAAACCAGATGACGTCGTAGAAAGGTATGGAGCACCAGCAACAAAAACGTAAAATTAAAGACGCTTTTACCAGGACACTGGTGTAGTGCCAAAGTTTGAAATGTACAGGAAGATAATCTTTGAGAACCTTATGACAGTATGTTTTCGTCGTTAAAATGTGTTGAGTTTGCTCCGTGGTCACAAAACGTTTTGATTCTAAAATTAAATAACATGACTTCTCTTAAAGCTCATAAAATGAAACCTCACCTCATATCAACTAAATATGTTTTTACATATGATAGTGTGCTCATTTTAAATATCTTGAGGAAAGTTTAAGGAAGATTGATATCGTCCGCAAACTCTCGGAACAGCCCCCGCAGTCAAAACAAGGGAACACAAAGCACAAAAAACTATGAAATGGAACTACTGCAAATATTGCTGAAAGATACAAATGAAAATTATCTGGTTTACTGTAACATATTTATATGAAGTATGATAAAGACATTGTTTCGTATAAGCAGTAGTATAGAACCAACAATACTTTATGACATAATAAAAATTCAAATCATGTTCTACAAAATTTTAATCTTATATCAAAAACTGAATGAAATGGTGTACAAAGAGACAATAATATACAAATTACATGCATTTCCATCTTGAAACTACGTCTTTTTTTTTTTAACTCGAACACTGTTTGTAATCTCCTTAGCACAATGAAAATGTTAAACTTATTCGTTCGTGTTCTTTACTATTTTTGGTGGATTTAAATATGAAATCAAAAGATGGAATATATAATGATCAGTACACAAGCTCAAACGTCCACTAGGCAATACCAAATTCGGGCAAAGCAAACAGGAACCTCCAAAACATCTGAAGTGGGATCAGGTACCATAGAGGAGTCAGCTGCCTGTAGACCGGTTACATCCGCCGTGTGCTCCTAGTCATGATCGAAAAATAACCTAAAAATTTGTCGACAATTCAGTATGTATATAATAGACTAACAATTAGAATGAAAAACGTCAGTCAGCAATTGATTCAATGATAAATTGTATTAGCTGACAAGATCATTCTATCGACCACAAAACTTACGAAATGATGCTTTTAAACAGGTCGAGACCACTACCTTATATGGAAGGCAATTTTCAACACGAGACGATATCTTCGTCACACCCGTTCGCCAGTCAAACGAATGAGTCCCAAATCATGACACTCTACTACGTATTTACGATTTTCGTCGGTTTCTGCATAATATGCACTTCGTCACCGGAGAACCCGTAGAGCTTCTCTATTACTTTTTAAGTCCGAAATTGAAAGATTATATTCCAAGGGCATTGCTCCATCCTCACATTTAATATTGGAATTGTTTTAGAGGATTAATAGTTGCTTCGAAAGTTCGAATAATGTGCAAGCGCTTTGAAAACTTTTGATAATATTTAGGGGTTAGAAAACTAAAAGCGCACCTTGTGCTGCAATCGCAACTTCTCGGGCCTTTCCGACTAGCGGAAAAACGACCTCGAATGTAAAGGTAGACGCCATGACAACCCCCTTTTCACGATCTAAAATAAATGCACGGAGATCTTTTGTTTGTGGAATATGGAGTTTAACTTTATTCAATGTAATGGTGTTATCTAAAATATACTATAGAAGGGACTTCTAACTCCGTCTATCCTTTATTTGAATAAACAGGAAATGTATAAATTTTTAACATCCGGTGATGTTAATACATTCGAGGTTGTTTTTCCGACCTCTGACGGAAAGACCCGAGATGATGCGATTGTCTTGTACTGCTGTCTAAAACTATATACACGCATATCACGTGATAAAACTCATTGCTTTATCGACACGATAGCACCTACATGTACGTCTTTTTAAACAATGGTTTAGGCCGATGTATTAAAAGTTGATATAAGTGAAAGATTATACATCATTTAAAATATTTCTTCCATAAATCTAAAAATAAATTGAAAAAAAGTTTCCAAGGGACAATTCAAGTTGGCCTTTATTTTCAACACAACTGAGTACTTGTAGTAGCCCACAATGCATTGCGACTCATTCATCAGTGGGTAAAGTAAACAGATAGCTAAATTACATGCAAATTTATGCTGACGTCAGAAAATCTAGTGGTCTCGACATATTAAAAGAAACTGCTGCTATTAGTTTCATCAACTACTTTGTTAATAATTTACCTTTTTTTTATAAAATGTTGAGACGTAGAAAATCTCTTGTGTATCGAATCAACTGAGAGATATAAACTCTGTATGAGGTGATGAAGGTACTTTGCTTCATAAGGAAGGGAAGTTGACGATTGAAGGTCATCACGCTTATCATGGAGCTTGGTTGTTAGATTACCATTAACGTCTTTTTCAAGTATAGTATACAGATATGAAACAGACGTGTCTGTGGTATGTTTTATCTCAAGCTCACCGGAATATATCGTATGGACATAAGAATGGAAATTACCATTGTTAATTAACAACACGTCGTCGATACAATGTATATCGAAATGTCGAGTTGAAGACCACAGCAAATGTTTTCTATTTTTTAAGTATAAGTTTTTGGACAAAATCTGCTTCATATGAATACAAAAATAGGTCTGCATATAACGGTGCGCAAATGGTACCCTTTGGATTTCCAGTAGATTGTTGGAAGACCTGCCCCCAGGATCATGAAACGTCTTAAGCTTAAGTCAAAATATTCATGTTGTGCTAGAACTTTAGTTAAGTCAAGTAGACAAAAATTAAGATATTTTTTAATATTATATAACTTTGTGAAATCCGGTTATCTGATTGGTCAATACGAGGTACTTATTTTTTAATAACGACCGCTGAAAGCGAATAATGACTCGCACGAGCTGCCTCGTTTTCACTTTCGCTTTAGACAAACATGGAAGTTCGCAAGTTGTAGGTGAGGAAAATTTAAACATATAGTGAAGAATCTGATAATACAAAACAATTACTAGGATATTTGTGAATATTTTTCGGGAATAATTAGCACATACTCAGTACCATTTCATGGTTGAGTTCGACCTTTCCACTCAGCCAGCAGAGTTTTGACTCTGTTTACGCGATTACGGAGACTTAAGAAAATATAGACAAGCATACCATGTAAGATTGTATCTATTCTTAGAAGACATAGGTATTTATATTTTGTCAGTGCATTTCGTTTGCAAGTGTAAACGAGAGCGATTCTCAATCTGGGGGAGGCGGTACTCTGTGTTATTCGGAGATAGATATCTTGCGTCATTATTATGATATGGGAAATTTATTGCCAAAACAATTTCGTCTGAGTAATATTCAATGAATTCTGAAACGTTTACATTCAACTTATTTATGGTTAATACCATCTCTGTAAATAATAGGATGATATACATTGCACTAATAATTTGGGTAAATTAGAAACCTCAGATACATGAAGCTCGGGCTAGCGCCCTTTCGATATACTAATGTAGCAATACTGTCATCCTGGGTCATTATAAATGCATATTGACCTACATTGAGTCCATATTTGTATAATATCGCTTTACAAAAGTTTTGTTATCTGCAAAATTAGAGATTCATTCAATGATTAATAAACATTTTACAGGCGATTATAAATTTGACTTAAGTCTACATCTGTTTCATGATCCTGGGACCTGATCTCCGAAACCACAAATATTATGTAAATTAGAAACTCAAGCATCTTTTTTAATAGCAACGTCAGAGTACTTGTGTGTACAATCAGAACCTTTTTTTAACAAAATATTTTTTTTAATTACCAAAGACAAGGTTAATAAATTTACCAGTTCCTTTTATCACGCAATTATTGATTATAGATTTTGTACATGTATTTGCTAAACATGTTTTGTATGAAAAGGAACTTTCATTCATATTCTCAATCTAAACATTCAGTTTGACAAATTAAGGATTTATAACTGCGCAATTTTAATTGAATAGAATAAAAAAATTCCACATGTTCATAATTTGATACTTGGTCTTAAGAATCTCGTGATAAACATTTGATACTGTCATGTAGATCTTATTCATCATGTGTCATTAATGAAAAAAATATTTAAACGTCCATCTCTATCAGACAACTTTATGAATATCGTATACAACTTAACTGAATGATTGATTTAAAGGTAAAGAGTTTGTCAATTAATTTCTTCAGTCATGAGCCTATTAGTTATTAATCTAGATTTATAAAACCACGACTTAAATTAATTAATCGATCAATTTTCATTGTATTTGTCTTAGTTACTAAATAAATGGATATTTATAACATGTTAGACATTATTGTTTGTTAGTGAAACATATTGAGATAACGAACAGTATTGGGTGATAAGCATTTTAGTTAAGATCCAATATCACTTGTTTTATGAATATATAAAGATATGTTCAACCCTTAGAACGTTAAAAATATTAAAATAACGTATTATACACAGATAAATTTTTAAAAAATTACTTTCAAACATTCAGTTTCTTTCTAGAACTATTTTTTAATAGGAAAATAATAGACAAAGAAGTAAGCCTTTTCCCTTATAGAAAATAATATTGATTGGGATTATAACGAGAAATCCTCTA